ATGGACCCCGGACGAGGTGCGTTCCAATGAGTCTTCCTACCAATATGACCATGTTGCGAAAACAAGGTCATTTAACTTCTATTTTTTTATATTTCATAGTGGAGTAGCATTAGAGTAGTCCTAAGCTTTACAATTTTTCAAGTATTAGACTAGTGACATCACCAATCTTAAATGCTTGTACCCAGTTGTTGGGCCTCAAGTTCTCTGAGGCATCATGTTGGCTTATTAGAATTTAGATTTCGCCTCATTGTACACTTTTTATTGCTGTCCAATACAGGATTTCTTGTGGGATTTATTTCTATATATTCATTTTATCTCTGTCATTGCTTATAATTTTATTTAGGACCCCCTTTATCTGCACATGCTAATCTTTTCCCTTTTGAGTAATCAAATGCTAAATTTTTTTCTGCTTATTTGTGAGCTAAGCTTACATTCAGTACTTGGGCTTGTCTTAACTTTGTCCAAGACATATCTCGACTGAATATAAGTAGGCATGCATAGTCCAGATCACCTCTTTTTCCTTCTTTGTATTGATTTTCGTCCGTTGAAGCCTTACTACTTGACTCCGGCTAACTTCTATAATCATTATCTAGGACGAACCGGAACCTCACATTCCGAGTCTTCTGTTTTTGGGCCTTGTAAAAATGTAAATTTCGTATGTAAGTAGAGTTTTGAGAATACCAGTAAATTAATAACATGAGATATAATTATCCTATTTCGTTTAAGTTGATGATGATTGTGGGAAAATTCTACTACCAGTCCTTCATCAACTTAAACAAAATAGGGTGAATATATCTCATAAAAATGTATCGCTTTTCCATTATTTATCAATTGTGTGATTGTTACCTTGGCTCCTCTACTCAGTCCTACTACTCTCAATGCCATCTCTGAGTAGTTTACTCGTACCCTTCGTTTGCATTGGCCCACATGGAGCCCAATGTAAAGCAGATCGTCTCACCGGTCACGTTCTTTTTCTCAACAAGCCTATTGGTATTAATAATGGTCTTCTTAATGTACCAATACGTCAACAACGACAATAATAACTCTTAATCTATAGCACATTTGAATGTAACTTCTGGCACAGGTAGGCAACTACACATAGTCCCTCATTAAATAGGACCTTCATTTTCTAATGTCCTCTTTCTTACGCGCCTTCACCTCAATTTTTTACACCTGCCCAGATGCAAACCGGTCCGCTATGGCGGTCGGGCTATGCATTATCTTTCTCGTGGTACTACCCACTTTCTTCGGCTGCCTCTACTACCACCTCTGTCGTCGGGGTGCCGGCATTGTGTCCGTTCCAATCACGGTGGAGCTTGACTCCAGGCCGCATAGTCACACCATCAAAGAAACTTCAGGCCTGGTGTCACTGATTAGCTGCCTGCGTCGTATAGGTGTCATTTTTTGTGCCATTTGCAGCTGTCCCGAGCAGATGCCTATGATCCCCACCGCAAACGGTCTCCAAAAACCGATCATACCACTACCAGACTTTTTATCACGACTCCTCGACAAGCGGTGAGTACAAACCACCATCTCTCAGTCGATAGGCCAGTTACTCAGGTATATTACTTCCATGATGTTCTGGTAAACAGAACACATCAGAGGAGAGTTCATCTTTGTTACAACCTAACTGGTCATTTATTAGTCGTTTTTATTAATCTACTATCCCTAAATATTGAGTAGACATTAGGAAAAATTCGTAAACTTTAGAAATCCTATCCACATTCTAAATCACTTAATATGATGGAGAGCTTGCAATTTTTACCAAATGAAACGCGTAAAGCCCTCGTCTTACCATTTACTTTCATTTAGTGCAGCCTTAACTACAGCGACTCATGGTGAGCATCGTTTTTTATAAAAATATCTGCTAATTTTGAGCTCTACTGAATTAATTATTTAGCAACTTTAACAAGTTTACTGAAAGATAGATATAAGCCCGAGTATAAAATGAGTTCGGAGTGACTCACTGAAGTTAGTGGTTATCTGGCCGAATGGACACATGGTGTAACCTGGTGGACTTAATCCGCTTTCTAATTCCCTTGAGGGTGCTGACGAGACCCAGCAGTAGAGGAGACTATAGTACTGAGAGGATAAGAATCTTTCTGAAGACAAGGCCGAGTGAAATTTAATGGTAATGCGAGAAATTCTTTATCAGAACTTCTAGTCCCTAAAGTTACTCGGGATATTATTAACGATAAAATTCAAATCTACGACTCAGTAATTAACTTAGAGGAGCATTTTATTTTATTCTAAAATTTGCGACCCCTTGATCAGATGAGTGAAGATAAACCTTGATCTGTTGAGCAGTTATTTTACCATTG